TTATTATTATGTATAATAATAATAATATTTGTTTTATTTAAATTTGTTTTTATTTAAATATATATAATTATAATTATAAATGTATTATTATTATTAATTATATATATAATATTACTCATTATATATTTATTATAATTATTATATATATTATTAATTACATATATAATAAATAAATATATATATATATATATATATACTTTTATTTACTTTTACTACTGTAGTATTTTACTTTACTACTTAGTACTTTACATATATATATATACTTTTATTTACTTTTACTACTGTAGTATTTACTATTATATAATAGTAGTATTTACAAATACTACTATTATTTAATTTAATAATTAAAATAATATTTAAAAAAATAATATAAATAATTATAATATAATAATAATATATAATATAATAATAATGTATATAATAGTAGTAATATTAATAATATTAATAAATTGTATATAATATTAATTATATATTAATTAATGTTATATTATATATAATATTAATAATAATAATAATAATAATAATAATAATAATAATAATAATATATGTGACAAGTGTGGTATACAGTAAACTTATGAAAATAACATGCAAGACAAAAAAAGAAAAGGTATAAAAAAAAAAAAGAAAGAAATAGTTATTAACAAAAGTGTTTTTTTGTTCAATAGTTATATAATAATATATAAGAAGAAAATGTAAGATTGGTTGAATATATCACATTCGACCTTTTCAATTCTTTTTCAAGCATAATCTCTGCGTCATTGTGACAAATATGTTCAAATGGGTTAAACCATGTCAACTATGCATACATATATCATCTCAAATACACACACACACGTAATACGTACATGCCTGTATAAATGCATGTGCAGCAAACATACGTGTATCATGTTTTATTTCAACGAATGATCTATACATATTTGTACTTACATAGTTGTACATAATTTAAATGGATAATATCATGTGCTTATTCATATCCAATTCTTTTGTAGAAAAAATTATCTTATGTATAGATAATAATTAAGTTATGGGGATTTTAAATGATCTATAATATTATATAAAGTCATGGTTTTCTTGCTTTTTTTTTCTTTTTTTGGTGCATAAATGTTTATACAAATGTAACAATTATAATTTGAAAATATAAGAGAGAGAGGTAAGAGTTTATTCTTTAACATAATTGATATATTTATTATATTATGACAAAAAAAATAACCTAAAAATTATTTACTAAATTAATACAGTGTGTTTATATATATATATATAAATATGTATGTAATATGTATGCATATATAATACACGTGATATATCGATTTTCAGTTTCCGTCATGGAACATGGTGACACACTAAAAGTCCTACCACACCCCGTGGTGTGTATTACCCAATAGCGTTCCAAGCTCGACTTACTTTGAATAGCAAATATATGCTAGATAGTCAACGTCATATCAGGTATATATTGGTGAATAATAAACTTACAAAAAAATAAAAAATAAAATAATAAAAAAAAGAAGAATAAAGAACACACCTTCAATCTATTCCTGGTGGAAATTTTTCAACGAAGATTGACATTCAAAAGAAATTAATCAATTTTTGTTCTTTTCATTTGGATAGAGTAGTATTATAATTAATTATCTYTTTTTCTTTTTCTTTTTTATTTTATTTTTTTTATTCATTTATAAGATTTATTTTAATGATTTGAATTCGTACGAATTTGAATAAACGATCGAAGCGTTACAAACGGCATTCGTTAAAACTAAATCAGTGAAGCGCGCGACATTTGAATCGAATGAATTGAACATTGTGATTTATTTTTTATTGATTACTATTTAAGATTGAAATTCTTATGAATTATGAATTACGATCGACATTATTAATATCGTTCGTTGAAATTAATAAGCCAAGCGTGATATTCAAAGGTATTATAATAAAATTCGCATTTGAAGTTAGAATATTTAATGATTAGAATTATTTAAAGAAAAAATGTTGGTCCTTACCATTCCCTGAATTATGAATTGCCTTGATAGCTTTCTTTAATTTGGTGAGACCATCTCTGTCGAAGTCCAGAGTCTGTAACATAATAAATCAAATTTATTAAAATATGATTTACAATATAAAAAAAAAATTAATAATAATAATATAAACGTATATGCAATAAATAAAAATATACATAAAGGATATTAAAAGAAAGTTAATTATGAAACTTTATACAATTATTTTTTTTTACAGTATAATAATATAATATAATTATATCACATACAGAAATACACACACACACATAATAAATTTATTATGACAATATAACAATTAAAATAAATATATATAATCTATATATATACAAATATTATATA